GCTCCGAAGCAAAAGTGGTAATGCGTAAAGTGTATTGGTTCTAAAACAGGCCATCGGGTTCAAGCAGCGTTCGCAAGGTCACCACGCAATGGAAAGCGAAGTGTGATCAACCCACAAGATAACTCGACGGCCCAAAATCCAAAAAAAAAGCCCGCTGAGTTTGTTTCGCCGGTTCTTCTCAGGACTGTCTGTGGCTTTTTTTGGAAAAAGTGGTAGAGTTAACATTTTCTTTTACATTTTGACATTCAACAAGTGTGTTTTTGATGACATCCAAGTTGAAATAAATGATTTTGAATTTGAATTTGAATTTGCCTGGTGTAGGTACCACGAATCGTTGTTGTCATTGTAACAGTGTGGAATGACACGACGTCATTCTATCATCGTAGAAATGTTCCGTGAAGTCGTACGCCAGTACTTCAGAAAAAAGTACCAACCTGTGGGATTGAACACCGGTACGCATCGCTCAATCCGCGTACACTGGATGTCTTATAGTTTAGGCCACGAAGACTTCAAGATTGAGTAATTTACTGTCTCCTCGTATATCCTATATATCTCGTATATTATTGTGCAGACGGTACTTGGAGTGTCTCGATTTGTAATGAAATCATGTTGACTATACATTTCATATTTAATATCTCAGCTGAGTTGTTACAACGGAGTTAAAAATTAAAAGCTTCCAATACAATTTAGATGTGGTATCATGTCTTAAGAGGCTTTCGCGTTGCTACATCCTTGGGCTTTTTACTCGCCTAAAAATAAGTAGGAAATGAGTATTTTTGCGTTGAAAAAAACAATACAAGCCATGGAGATAAAGCAAAGTTTTCACTGTCAGAATATTTAAAATCTCATTAATATTATTTGTGTTAATTGATGGATCCTGTCTTATTATTTATCTGGTTATGAATGACATGAACTTTATTGGTATCATACTATTTTATAGTTTATGTCTTATTGTCCTGAGTTCACATTTTCAGCTGCGAAAATAATACAAAATAATTGTTTTTTTTCGGCTTTAGGCATTATTAAAACTACTTTAAGTAATTTGATCTAGAGTTTATTAATTTCATTTTATTATTGCAGTCGTTTGGTAACATTACACTATCCGTGGCCCTTTACAATGAAAGGTTTTTTTATTGCTTAGATGGGTGGACGAGCTCACAGCCCACCTGGTGTTAAGTGGTTACTGGAGCCCATAGACATCTACAACGTAAATGCGCCACCCGCTTTGAGATATAAGTTCTAAGGTCTCAGTATAGTTACAACGGCTGCCCCACCCTTCAAACCGAAACGCATTACTGCTTCACGGCAGAAATAGGCAGGGCGGCGATACCTACCCGTGTGGACTCACAAGTGGTCCTACCAGGAAGAAGCTATTCTTCTTTTTCGTCGTTTTCTTCATTACTGAAGGTCATGTCCTTGAAACATGACCGTGGCCTGTCTTGTGAGCTGTTTCCACCTCGTCCGGTCCTCAGCTTCTCGTAGCGCGGTAGCGACTGGCAGCCGAGTTAGGATTGGTTACACCAACGGCTAGTTGCTCGGCCGCGTGGTCTCCTTTCTTCCACCTTGCCTTCATAATCACTTTGTCTAAGTTATCCGGCTGTTGGCGAATAACTAAAGATAAAAAAATAAATAAAGAGCTATTAATAGACATATAATGAATGTGCTAAAGACAAAAATATTTCTTAACATTTAAGTAAGGTGAAGTGAAAGATGATATGTATCAACCACGAAAACTGTAAAATATTTGGCACATCTAAAATAACAAACCCAAGATTAAGCCGCTAAAATAGTTTTTATTATGTCAAAATAAACAAATGTTTCTCTTCCTTTCTAAATTGTTATATGCAAATTAAATGAGTTTTCTCTGTCTGTTATGATTAGTCGATAACGACGCACTAGCGCGAAGGTTAATGCTTATTAAGCACTAACCCAGTCCGCGGTGTATCGCGTTCCAACTCGGCAGACTGGTTCTGACCCAGCGGGGTATCCCGGAACATCAGCGGTATCGCCGTCGTTGGTCGTCGACTATCGCTTCGACGACCCGTCGGTCGGGCGTCCTCGGGGTGGCGCCGCGTCTGGTTGTAGTATTGACTGCGAGAACCCCCCTACTCTGACCGGACTCTAACCCCGGACAGAGATCGGACTTCGGGTGTAAGAGTGCCGGGCAGTTATTTAGTGCTCTAAAACTCCTTGGGTACGCGGTCTGCTCCCAACATATGCAGATCGTCAAGTCCCACATACGCCCCCTAAGCGCGGGGACCTCGTAGAAGGTTCGGCACCCAGCCTGAATAAAAAAAAAAAGAAGAAATATTTAGCACTTTAATTATGTTGAAATTTGCGCGGCTTGAGATATTTTAAAACGTTTACAGAGACATTTCGCTATTAAGCCTCGTGATATAAGTTTGTTTCGTTTAACGATATCTTATCAAATAAAATTTCTCTGCTTGAGACCGTTTCGTGTGATAAGTCCGTCTATGTCACGGCTCTGCGATAGCGCGAGATGAGTATATTGACACACGTTGCAATCAAGAAATCATTTTTATAATGGCATTCCTTGACAACTGGTTTTTGATCTTGGGAATAAGGATTTCGGAATCTTGTGTCTAGTTATAGCAGTAGTTTCTGATTTGACTGCTCCGTGTCATCACGTAGTCATCCACGAAGATTTCCCTTGCAAGGGTTCTGGGATGATCTTTTCCGACGATTGCATGCTTTGGTGGTATCACCGTCATTTTAACAGTAGCCAGCGGCTTGGATTTGTTGTAAATGCTGCGCTACTAAGAGAAGATATCTAATAATTATTCCGTTTTAATTTTTTGTTATCAAAAATTTACTAATTTCTTTTAATAGGTATGTAAGTAGGTAATTTTTTTTATATTGCCCTTGTATGCAGTCGAGCGTACGGCCCACCTGATGGTGAGTGGTTACCGTCGCCCATGGACTTCAGCAATGCCAGGGGCAGAGCCAAGCCGCTGCCTACCGCTTAATATTCTCCACAAGCCTCGTTTGAAGCAGGACAGGTCATAGTGCTCGGGAAGCACCGTGGAGGGAAGCTCATTCCATAGCCGTAAAGATGGTATCATCTCGATAGATGGTTTGTTAACAGCCACACGAAGGCCCCTAGATATCTACCGGCCCTCAACAGATCTTCGTCACACGTCTATCTATCACAGTTTCAGAATCGGCGACCCACTGCAAAAGCCTGGCAGGTTGATGCAAGCGCTAACTTTCAAGTCGAGCTTCTTTGGCGTGTTTGACAAGTACGGCGCCATCTACAGCATTGAGAGTAGAGCCATGTCGACGGGGATCCCCGTCATGAACGAATTTCCTTTTAGAAGCCGACCGAGTGGCAATCGATTTTAAATTTCATCTTTGACGCCACTTTTATTAGATCGTAGATAAGATAATGTCGGTTTATACAAAATGTTTTGAAATGCATCCAGCGAATAAGGCATTGGAGTTTAGCTTTGACATTGTTGTATCAAAAGGTCGCATTTGTTTATGTCATGTTGCATGCATGCATATTTCAATGAATGATGACGACACCTTTTTTTACGGGCAGAAGGCCAAACCTTTTCGAGGTTTCCAGGCATAGAGGGTACGCGGGGTACCTATGTGGGACTGGACGATCTGCAGATACTAGGAACATACCGCGAGCCTAAGGATATTTTTAGGGCCCTGCCGCATCGGTAAATCAGTAAACACCTACCACAACCTCTGTTACTTCGGTCGAATATTGACAATAAATTTAGGAATTGAACATAAAAATGCCTTTAATATAATTTGCGGCCAACTAACATTTATTTCACGCTAGTCTCGCTGCATCAATATTCTATTAGCAATTTTAATGTAATCTTAGTTTGTATTACTTCGCAAGAATACCATTTTTATACGGCATTGTAGGTTTTTTAATACTTATACCAGTATCGGTATATGTTATCGTTACTGGTGGTAGGACCTCTTGCGAGTCCGCACGGCTAGGTACCACCACCCTACCTATTTCTGCCGTGAAGCAGTAATACGTTTTTGTTTGAAGGGCGGGGCAGCCGTTGTAACTATACTGAGACCTTAGAACTTATATCTCAAGGTGGGTGGCGCATTTACGTTGTAGATGTCTATGAGCCCCAGTAACCACTTAGCACCAGGTGGGCTGTGAGCACATCCACACATCCAAGCACTAAAAAAAAATGCTACGCATATTACGTTATGTTAGTATGAAATTTCAAATTTATACTGCTATTTATAGTAATGATACACTATATTTAGCAACGTAGGTATAGATTTAAAAAAATTATAATAAATTGTCTGTAAAGTCGTTTTACGGACGATAGTTTTACGGAGTAACGTGAGTAGCAGAACTATTTGAACTTCCAGCTCCGACGTCACGCGAGAAGAGACATAAATGTGTCACAGGGCAATGCTTGGGCCGATCGTACCTCTCTATCGCTTGTTGCACGCTCAGACTTAGGCGGAACGCGACACTTTTTCGTGCGTGCAGCCGATGTTCATTGATTTATAAGACGTTATCACGTAAAAAATTCCAAAGAAGGATATACTGTTTGGTATTATTAACACATCGCTCGCTCGCTCGTAGAGGCTCCGATAACTTGGAGAAGCTGATGGTAGTTGGTCAGGTTGACGGGAGAAGATCACGCGGACGCTCACCTACGCGCTGGTCTGATCTGGTTAAGACGCTCACCGGCCTGCCAATAACCGAGGCTATAAAGACTGCCGATGACAGGAAGACGTGGGGAAGCATTGCGCATCGAGTGGTCCACATTTCAGATTAGACACGACCTTCGGCAATGAAGAGACCGACTCAGAAGAAGATTCCACATGCCTATTTCAATTTTAATTCAAAAATATTAATATTAAAATTTTGTAACTTGGTTGTAATTACTCTATATGGTGCGCAATATCATATGTATTGCACACATCCCGCGACATCCGTCCTCTGAATGCTCTGTCTTGTTTCTCCGTGTACCAGTGTGTACGTCTTAAATTATCACTGAATATTTGTCTAAAATGATTACACGTTGTTCAGTCGCGTCCGAATTCCGCGTGGGCCCACATGTTCCGATGTCATCCACCAATCACGCTTCAGGCTGTGTAATTTTTCAATGAGATTGCCCACTTAGCCACGTATGACGTCCGTTGTCATTTTAACGAGGCAGCCACGCTGCGTTTTCGAATTTTGCCGCATCGGAACGCGACTGATTCGATGATTGAAAGAACGCAAATCGATTTGACCGTATTCAGAGTGCGTGAACGTTTCTCGGTGTCGTATTGAAGTTTTGACTATTACAAATCGAATCAAAGTGGATCCTTTCGTGAAGAGAAAGATGAAAGTATTCAAGAAGAAATTGCGTTTCTCGATATAACGTTAGAATGTGTGGACATTGTGTTAAACATAATTTATCGATACGTGTACTATAATAAATATTATACCTACATCACCGGCGGCATTTCGTTCAGATATAGTCACAGATAGGTAAGTGATTGTTTGTATTACGCAAATATGTGATAAGAGTCATATAAGAACGTGTCTATTGAAACATACAATATTAAATGCTATTTACATTACTTCCTTTATATTTTTGATTACGCTTGATAAGCATGGATTATTAGCTTGATAAACATGGATTATTAAATTGGGACTTAGAACTCATGTCTCCAGTTAGGTGACGACTTTTACGTTTTTTTTTGGTCTTGAAGGCAGATTACCATACTGCCCATCTGATGGTGAGTACCCGTTACTCATGGACGTCAGCAATACCAGGGACAGAGCCAAGCCGCTGCTTACAAAATTGCTGATGTAACCGCTAACCGATTAACTTAACGTGCGCTGTGAGCTCGTTCACCTGACTAAGAGACGAGAGAAGATAAAGAGACATGATTAGCTCAGGGCTTGCTTAGAGCTAAGGGGTCGTCCATAAATTACGTCCCACGTTGATGGGGGGGGGGGGGTATCACCGAAATGTGACATAGTGTGACAAGGGCCGGGGGGGAGTTGGAGGTGTTCAATAGTTCTGTAACGTCACATGTTAAAATTTAAAATATTAAAACGCGAAGTTTAGATGTGAATAAAAAACTTTAAAAATCGACGAGCTTGAACTATACTTATTAATAATTTAGCACTCTCGCTATGAGATTATCTCTAATGCAACGTCATTTAACTTATAATTTAACTTACAAGCATAAATTGAAAAAATCTGTGACGTCATGAGAGAGAGAGAGAGAGAGAAGTGAGTGTTGCGATGACGTTTGATAGTAGAGAATGGAAGAGAAAAAATATCTGTGCCGATCCCACCTATTGTGGGATAAAGGGGAGAAAAAGAAGAAGACTGTACGTTCTTGCTGGTATCAACACCTTTAACTTCCGTGGCTACAATTTTTTTTGTAATGTAATAATAATAATGTAATAGTATGTTTTTTTGTAATGTAATAATGTTCATACGCGTATTGAAAAAAAGCATCCTTTGAGTCTTGTCGAAACTTGTCAATGCTGAAACTGCATTCCGAGTCGTAAAAGCTATGACAATTTAAAAGTATACGTAAAGAATGCAGGTACATATTAATAGGAAAAATAAAACAATTTAATTTGATTGATTTATAAAAATCAAAGACTGCGTTATCTCGTAAAGGTTACTACTAGTATTTATATTTTTTTGTTGCAGTCTTAGAAGCCCCTTCACTTGTTTAGTATTTGTTACAAAACGATTTCTTGCTATGAACTTGTTGGAAGGGTCACAGTTCGGTCTTATCGATAATAAAATGATTATTAAATCATTCCTGATCCTGCGGGCCGAATGGTAAACAGTCGACGTCGCCTTAAACGCGTCACTTCGGATCCTCCCGATCCACTAATCATGCTTTTAGGTACCTAAAGCAACGGTCATCGTTCTCGTCGAACCCGTCGCTTGCGAAGTGCTAGGCGAGTGAATTAACCCACAGACAGCCCACTGAGATTCTCGCCGGATCTTCTCAGTGGGTCGCGTTTCCGATCCAGTGGTAGAGTCTGCGAAGCACTGCTCTTGCTAGGGTTAGTGTTAGCAACATTGTCAGGCTTCTGCCCCGTGAGCTCACCTACTCGTTAGATTACGATGGCGCAGCCTCTCAAGGCTACCAGCATAAGTAGGAAAAAAAAATTATGGATTCCGGTATTATTATATTTGAAGTGAAACTTCTAATGCGACTTCCAACAAGGTTGCGTTTAACGTTTAACGCTACCATACTAGAAAGAGACAGAGCGAGAGTGAATGCGTCGCGTAGTATACTGTTTACAGGCCAGCGCGAGCGTTAGCAACAAGAAGTATCTAATATTTTAATGAAGTATGTAAAAAATATATATTAATATATTTATTTTTCTATCTATAATTTAAAATATATATAATATAAATGTTGAAGGTGTCGCATCTCTTATACACAGCATTCCCTATTACAAGAGCAATCTGATTTAAGGATGAAAAATGAAGAAAACCACAATACTACACATCGTAAAAGAAGTTTCACTTCATTCATTCGTATGCTCGTCGGCCTTGAGAAGCCAATAAACAAAACAAATATGCGAGAAAAGAATTTGTTAATTCTCGTTAAATTTCAACATTATAAATAATCTAGTTTTTTGACGCGGACACGTGATCTCAACGGTGCGTCCGTGCGAGCACGTGATATGCGCTAGAGATACAGGTCTAAGTCAAAGCGTGACTTATACTTTTTTTTTGTTGTTAAAATATTCGCGGTATTAGTCTTAGCACGTTTCGTTGGCGTACGTCATCGGCTTAGGAGTCGGGGATCGCGATAATGTGACCGGTTAAGTAAGTAGGCAATTAAATTATGTTAAATTATTTCAAATTAAACAACGTGTTTTTAGTTTGGTGGCGATTTCTAAGACTTTTTTAATTTTGCTCGGCACGTTTGTTTGTATGGTCGGAATCTTTGAACGTATTTTTTAAAGACTTTAAGACGTCGTTATCAAATTGGAAAATAATATGCACGCGTTGCAAAGACCGATGAGGATACAATAATTTTATAGCTTCGCTCTAATATCCTGATCAGTATCAAGAGGATAAAATTTGATGAAATTGATTGTTGGTTCGATGTCCGTATTTAAGGCTGTATTTTTTAGATTTTAGAAATGATATACATTTAATTTTATTGCATTGATGGGTGGACGAGCTAACAACCCACCTGGTGTTAAGTGGTTACCGGAGTCCATAGACATATAACGTAAATGCCGCCACCCACCTTGAGATATGAATTTTGAGTTCTAAGGTCCCTAACCCTTCAAACAGAAACGCATTACTGCTTCACGGCTGAATTAGGCAGAGTGGTGGTACCTACCCGTGGGGACTCACAAGAGGTCCTACCCCTAACAAATATTATACCTATATCAATAAACAGAGATAGTTCAACTCCAGTTTGTCAATATAATAATGTTAATAACAAAACACAAAAAAGGAAATATAGCACACAATGCGAATCAAAATTTTGAGGTGTCAATAATTTATGTCGGTCCTCTGTAAATGTATATTTATAAAGTTGTCGTTAATTTTTTTTGATTCCAATCGGGAATTAACCTGCCTCTTATGGTATAATGCTGTTGGAAAAGTTTTCGGAATCGTCATGCACTTATTAACATAAAGGTATTTGTTAAGGGAATTTATTAATATAATTCTTTTAATACTCTATAAACTATTATATGTATGTATATGTATATAAATATATATATTTGATTGTGTATATATGTATATATAATTATGTATATACTTTTTTGTGTATGTATTTGTAACTTAATATAAATTTCATTGCATCTACCACTCTTTACTCTGCACTACCTTTGGTTGACTGGTAGAGAACATCTTAGGCATTAAGTCCGCCAATGTAAAATTTACATGAATTAAGTAATAAATAAATAAGTAAATAAATAATTAAGGTCGCAAGCCCTTTGACCAAGAAGGCGGTCAAAAATAACTTTCTATTTCGTATATAATTTTGTGTTCCTTAAATAAGTGAATGAGCTCACAGCCCGTCTGGCCTAAAGTGGTTATAATGACTTCACAAAGTAATTGCCGCCACCCACATTCAGAGATACGAAGGCGAAACAGCAATTTGCAAAGTGCAATGAATGTCACATTCTGCAAACCGTAATACCTGATACTATGTTATTCCTTCATCGTGGAAGTCATTCGTGTATATGTGCTTACGGTAGCAGCGGCATGGGTCTGCTCCTGGGCATTGCTGACGGTAACCACTAACCATCAGGCCGTATGCTCGTCTGCCTATCGGGGCAATAAAATAAATAAATGTATCTATTTCTTTAGGAAAACACCTACATAGCATCCTTAGCCCCTTGTCCACTGTTTGACTTTGTTTGTCGTTTGGACGTAATCACTTTTGTCGCGCGAAACTTTGCTTTTAGTCTTCAAAAGTCACACGTGACGTAATTATTCGAGAATTAATCTTGTTAGTTGCACACTAAAACGCGAATTAATACCAATTCGATATCCGTAAAAGCGGTAATAATAATCTCACATTTTAATTAAAATACCGCCAAATTTGAAACGATAATGGCGGAGCGATAAATACTGATGATATGAAATGTTTTCGCGGTAAACATCTTTCTTTTTTTTACATTTTTTGTACAAATTAATACAACACGTTTCCAATCAAACTGCTATTATATTTTACGAAGTAGTTAAACGTATGTTTTGGAAGTCGTCGTGGCCTAAAGGATAAGACGTCCGGTGCATTTGTATGTTGCGATGTACCGGTGTTCGAATCCCGCCGGCGGGTAGCAATTTTTCTAATGACATACTTATTTAACAAATGTTCACGATTGACTTCCACGGTGAAGGAAAATAGCATCGTGTAATAAAAATCAAACCCGCAAAAATATAATTTGAAATAATTACTGGTGGTAGGATCTCGTTCGCACGGGTAGGTACCACCACCCTGCCTATTTCTGCCGTGAAGCAGTAATGCATTTCGGTTTGAAGGGTGGGGTAGCCGTTGTAACTATACTGAGACCTTAGAACTTATATCTCAAGGCGGGTGGCGCCTTTACGTTGTAGATGTCTATGGGCTCCAGTAACCACTTAACACCAGGTGGGCAGTGAGCTCGTCCACCCATCTAACTCATCTAAGCAATAAATAAAAAGTCCCTAAGCCTGCTCCTAGTGTTAGGGCTAAAGGCATCTAATACAAGAATTATTGGATCTGATGGATCCGTAAGGACGTGTCTAGGGCATCGCCTGTGACCGACTCCGGCATGGGCAGGATTCGGGGAGTAGTCAGTGGCGGCAACGATAACGCGATTATCATGACGCGTAGCCCTATCGAAGTACCGTTCCGACGCTGACTTCAGGTGTTTCCGGATCGTATCGAGGCTCTATAGAAGTGCTCTGACTTCTAACTGTAATCTAGAACAGTAATGCAATGCGTGATTTATTATATACATAGATACCATTAAAAAGGATTAGACAGGATGAC